CACTGGGAACCCCGTTCCTCAGCTTGGCCAGGCTGCCCAGTCTCAGGCTCTGGGCATCACGCCTGCAGCAGAGCTAAAGCCACAGCTCAGGGTGACCCCGTTCCCTCAGGTCGCCTCACTCGGCGGGCAGGACCAGGTGTCCCCTCCCATCCTTCCTGGGGTCCCTGAGGGAGCCCCAAGGGGCAGTTGCCCATGAACCACAGGGAGCCGGACACAGGCTTCTCCGAGGCGGCATAATTTACTGCGGTGTGGATGGGCAAGGGGTGCCCGGGCTGGGTCTTGGCGGGGGGTGTGTGCAATGAATGCAGCAGGACTGGTATGGGGGGCTTGGAGGTGAGACACCCCCCAGTGAGCCACGTGGGATGGGAAGGGTGGGGGGAGCCCAGGCAGGGGCTGTGCTGCTCTGGGCACTTGGTCTTGAGGGGGACAGGCTGTGGGGACAGCGGGGCAGGAGAGACCTGCTTTGGCTAGGGTGGATCCCGGCGAATGTAGGATAATCCAGGGCTGGGGTGAGGGCATGGGATGCTTTGGTGGGCTGGAGTAGGGATTTGAGGGTCCGAGGCATGTCATCAGGGAGCTGGGCAGGGGACACAGGGGTGCAGGGCAGGGGTCTCGGGTGCAGCCAAGAGGGCCAAGCAGGGATCCTAAGTGCATGACAAGGGTCCCTCAGCAGGTGAGCAGAGGGCTTGGGGGTAGCCAAGGGTCTCTGATGCAGACCAGGGCTCGCAAGCATGCAGAGCAGAGCAAGGGTCCTGGGTGCAGCCTAAGCTCCTGGGTGTGGGCAGGGATGCTATGAGGAGAACAGGGGTCCCAGGGGGGCAGAGCAGGACTCTTAGGATGGGGCAGGGGTCCTGGCTGCGGACCGAGGCTCCCTTGAACGCAATTGGGAATCCTGGGGGTGCAGAGTAGGGTCCTGAGGCACAGTCAAGGGGCTGAGGGGAGCAGAGCTGGGGTCCTGGGGTGCAACCAGGGATGCCAGGGGTGCAGCGTCAGGCCAGTGCAGGAGTCCCAGGGCAGGGTAGGGTAGGGTGGGCAGAGCCCTAGTGCTGCCCAGCCCCATAGAGCAGGGGGTGGTAGAGAGGGCAGGGGTAGGAGAACATGAACTTGACGGCAAACTTCATCTCCTTGTTGTGCTTCTGCCAGGGGTAGACGGCAAGGAGGAGCAGGCGGCTGCCCACCTTGCGCCCCATTATCAGGAAGCTGCCGCTGAGGCTGTCGAGCTGGGGGCAGGGGCAGGCGCCTGCATTCCTCCTGGGCAGGC